CAATTCTATCAGAAAACAGCTCTGTTTTCTAAAAAAAGGTGGAGACCTTGGTTTGGGCTATTTCAAAGCCTAAATAATACAGATTTCCCATAAAATGGCAGCCAAATTTCTCAGAAGCCTTTGAAGATCACAGGTTAATGCTATCCCAAAAAACAACTGCAGAAGCATTGCTGAAGAATATGAGATTTCTTTTGTCAGGCATTGCTTTTAAAGTGGAAAAGGATCTGGAGGAAGGAAAGAAATGGCCAAACGRAGAATAGTTTGTCATTTCTAAGCGGATTCATTAGAATATTTTAGTAACTCTTGGAGAAGCCTGGTTTCCTGAAAGGGAAGAAGGGTATAGAGACAAAGATTATGCAAGGAACCAGTCGAGAAACAGTGTTTGTCTTTGTTTTGGTATTCCTCATTATTTCTCATTCTGGCAAAATTTGCATCAAATTTGCATCATCATAAAAGCAAAATGGCTTATGGAATATGAAACTCCACATTTTAATCTGATAAAATAGTCCAAATATTACAATGCTGATGTGATCTTGAATAGCATAAAGCAGAGACAACCCACTGTTAATCATTATGCTAATAAAAACTGATTCATTTAAATTTTCTTTTCCCCAATATTCTTTTCTTCTCTGCCATGATTTTCTCAGAGGACTCAGTACATATGAGCACAAGCAGAGGAAAGCTTCGTCATCATATGCTTCCTCATTTCAAGGGGTCAGTTTTGTAAGATGACCTTCACCCTCCGTAGCTGCCCAGCACAAAAAACTGGTACATTACTTAAGGCCTTTTTAAGCCTTTGGGGATTGGAGGTGTTCATGGCTTTTCCTCTAAGAAGCTGGAGAGGAATGAAATTCAACTTTGGCAGAGACAGTTTCTCTTTTGGCATTAGTCTGTCCTGGTTTGTAGCTTCTCTCCCTCTCTTTTTTTCACCTCTCTATTGTGGAAAAATGCTCCAAACAATTTATACAGAAGTTCAGGCATTCAGGAGAACTTCACAGTTTGCTATGGGTTTCACAGAATGACTCACAGAACCTATTAATTTGCTTCTCCAATATTGTAGGTTAAAAAAAAACAGTAATAAAAAAAGTCTAGCAACTCCTGTAATCATTCCACAGAGTCCTAATGGTTATAGTCCTCTTAGGGAAAAGCCTTTCTGTTCCTCTCCTTCGTCAGAAATCCGCCGCCTCCTCCATCTTAGAGGTAAAGACTAGCAAAACAAGACAAGTTTCCCAAAGAGGCTGTGTTTTGCTTCCCAGGAACAGCCCCATGGCAGGACATCTCCACTGCTTGGTGCAAGTGCAGGGCACTATATGCAGTTTTGGAGGGAGAGGGTCTCTCCCTATTGCGCAGCTTAGCTTCCTCAACTTCCCTGGTTTTCTTTGCTTGAGCTCCGTCTTATTTTAGCTCAGGTTGTCCTGTCAAAAGTAGACTAAGCAATCACAGAAGATTCATCCCATTTTAAAATGAACTTCATTTACTTTAGAGAGAGAAAAGTGAAAAAAGAAGAGTCTATGAGTTTCTGAAAAGTGCTGATTAAATACAACTTGCTCGATAATGATTTGTTGCCATCTCTTGACGAAGATGATCTGGTTCTTGAAGCTTCCACTGAATTTCATTCCTATTGTAGCTGAACTTGGAGGAAGTGACAAGGGAAAGATATTAATATATCTCGAGGCTGTGAGGGAGCTGTTTTTCAAGTGAGACAGAAGCAATAAGTGTTTTGAACACCTCATACTTCAGTGAAATCCAATTTTCTGTCACAGGTTTTGCACTGAAGTAAGACTCTGCTCGGAAGTCAAAGCCCGGGATACTAAGTGGCATCTGTAAACTGCATAGGAAATGAATGCATTTTGTTCTTTTGTTGCTTGCAAATGTACCCTTCAGTCTGCAGCAGGAGTGAATATTAGCCACTGGTGCTAGGCTTTGTGCTTAGGGAGTTTTGCACAGAATCCAAATTGCAGCTTTCAGTTCCTGTGAAGTCTAAAGAAAATAACTGTGAATTCCCCTGTTCAAGTGGCTCGGGAATAATACAAGCCTTCAAATGTTTCTGGAAGGTAGGGTGTCTCTGCTGAGACAGCAGCTCACCAAGACAAATTCAGTCCATAAGTGGTATAAGCTGTGGCCAGGGCCAGCAGCTTTGAGCCTTTAACCCTTGGAGAGTTTCCCGTGGGCTTGGAGCAGCCAGCCGGGAGCTGCTGCAGGAGCAAACACGGGCCCATGAAACAGCCAAGGGGAGGGGAGGAAGGGGGACAGTCCATGCTGATAGGCTACAGATTTGAACCGTTTGGGATGGAAAAGCAGTCTGCAGTCTCTTGACCAATTTTGTGTTGGCAAGGGTATTATAACAACAGTCTCCTTAAAGAGGATAAGGCAAATCCCAGTGCTGCATTTGGTGGGAACTCTGCATTCTCCATGGCTTATCCCAGTAAAGTGTTCGACCATTAGGGTAGATCCTGCAGAATATGTCACTAATGTGCTGGCCCTGTAATGCCACAAACCTATAGCTAATTATCCTCTGCTGGCTGCTCCAGGGCTGCAAGACTGGGATGGCWGTGGCAAGACACCCCAGCCCTTATTTCTCTAAGGATCTCAAGTTATTAGTAAAAGTACTCCCATTGCCTTAAGGGCACTTCCTTAATGTAGAAGTCTCTATCTCTTGGACTAAAATTTCATTAACTGTAACTGAATTAGATATAGCTAAGCCTCCGGATTGTATCCAGAAGAAGTAATATGCTTTTTACCTCCTGCCCAATTCACCAGTATAAACAAATTAGATACACACTTTAAGCATGTCATAAACTACTCCTGGCTTAAATTTATGCAATCTTAATAGCATCGCATTCAGACTAAACTCCCAAGTGAGATAAACACAGTTAGAAAATAAGGCTTTTGCTCTCCTGGAAACAAAATATATTCTTTTGTCACTTCTAAATAATGAGAACATTAGTACAAAACATCAGGAAGCATTTAATAGGACCTAAGTGGAGGATTTAGTAAAAATTTCTTTTCTGTCCAGGGGAGAGAGGAGCTTCAGAGAGGCCATGCCATGGCACGGACAAATGCATGGTTCTCCTTGTCCCCTCTGCCTCCCCACCTTCCCTTCAATGGAAACCACATCACAGTACAAAAGCCTGTTCCTTAAAATAGGGTCAGTGACCTGAAAGCAGGAACTGCTGGAGCTTGAAGCTTTGTTTTATTAATCAGTTTCCATGCATTTAGTTGAGGATTAGCATAGCCTGCCAGCTCTATCAGCATTAATTTAGAGTACCTTGAGGTATTGAGGACAGAGCTGTCTGCTGCTCATATAATTTCAGAGAATCGCCCCCACCCCACCCCCTGCCTGCTAAGGATTAAAAAACCATTAGGCCAAAATGAACACTTCAAATGTGCACTGCTCATTACGGGTTTGGAGTCACCATGGAAAAGGAAGGAAAACATGATGAAAGTGGGACTTGCAGGGAACTTTGCTAAGGAAGGAAGGCTGGGGTTGTCACTGCGGGGCTAAGCAATGAGGCCTGTGCCCGCCTACGAGCGCGGTGTGTATGTTCTGCAGCATGTCCTCCCGCCCCAGCAAAACTGGTATCTCCACAAGAGATCACAACCCCCTCACAGCACAGGGCCTCCCAAAGCTCATTAGCAGAGGTATCACATCTTTAAACAACACGCCTAAATATCTCTTAAAATATATTTCTTAAAAAAATAACCAAGAAAGATGAAAGAGATGTTTTCCTTTAGTATGCAGCGTACTGATACTGTGATTGCTTGTGTACCTCGSTTCCTCGAGGGTGCCTCAGCCACCCTTTGGGTTTTTCCAGCAGATTTGGGTTAAATTAGCATCTTATCCTACCTACTGAAGAAAATCTAGTAATCCTTAATGGACATTCACTCCTATTTTACCACACTTGTATTTTTACAGACTTTTTGCTGTGACAGAGAGTTTCGTGCTGTAGCAATCTGTGTGGACACTGGAAAGAGTCTTGAGGTATCCTAGCTCAGTCTRTCTGCCTACCATAGGAACAGTCAACTGTAGCTGTAATAACACAGCCATAATGCTTCTCAGTTCCCAGATTGAGAAGGGCACCTCGGCATAAAGCAGCAAGATCTGAACATCTTCACAGATCTTCATAGAACCTTAATCTAAGGAGGCCTGATTCTGGCCACTTCTTCCTGGCTGAACACAGGCAACAGTTACAGTATGGCCAGAAAACAAAAAAAGCATCCACAGAAAATCTCTAGTAGCATTTGGACACCTCAAATATCCATATAGTCTCACTATCCATTTTATCTGTCTGTAAAGCACTTGTCTTCTGCTGGGCTTATTACACATGTCAGAAATAGGTATCTTTAAGTAAAAGAATTTGTACCAGTGATTAGAAAAAGAAAGTGATCATTTGGGCTCTGAGTGGTCACTGAATACTCAGAGAGGGCTTTTTTCACCTTAGATTATACAGCGAACCTGGAAGAGTAAATGTAATCTCATGTTTGTCTTTAGTGTGAGGGTTTCCTTTGGGATGCAATTAGGAGATTAGAACAAATCTAAATTCTGATACAGGTACACCACCTGCTCAGTCATGCTGAGCAGCATGGCACCCTACCACAAAATAAACAATAAAAGCCTCTTGAAAATCAGGACAGGAGGACAAAAATAAAAAGCAGCTGCTGTTTGCCAACATTGCATCTCTTTAGACCAAAGTTCTAACAGATCCAGTGACCTTTTCTGCCAACACCAAAGCATGTTACTTTRGGCCAGACCCGCTTAGCTGAAAATTACAGTCCTAAGGATGCCTCAGAGCAATTCTACTGGAGGCAGCTCTGCCAAGTAGAGAAATCTGGACTTCCAGCCCACCTACATGCTCATCATTGACCCACATCAGAGAGTAAGGCCCTCATGGACCTTCCAGCCACCCAGCACATTGCAGTTATAGCAAGCTCATCAGTTGACACAAAACCTTTTGCTGTCTTGGCCATTTTGGATGGACAGAGGTTTGAGTGGGACCTACCTGATCCCTTGGGCTGGTGGGGCAAAGCTGGCAGTCATGGCATATGGGGGACAGCAACCTCTTCAGTCAGCACTGCAGCAACTAGAAAAAAGCATGAGGTGAAGTTATTTCCCCATAGGGCAGTACTTCCTCTTCCCATCCACCCGCAGTGCCGATCTGTCTCGAATGTCTACTTCCCCTCACAAAAACTGGATTTGGTCCAAACCAGCTATCACCATGTTGGGCACAGTTCCCTGCGAGTGCAGAGAGAAGGCTCTGAAAGCAGATGCTTTCGACACTGATCAGTCCTTCAGGCTTAGAACAGGCACAAGCATCCACCTAAAGTACGGACTGTTTTGCCTTTTGCCTTAAATAGAAATAGATGCAACATGAAGGAACTACATTCAGACACTGTGTACCAAACCAATGGGTGTTCTAAGACAACAGCCTAACACACTGCTTCTAAGGGTACTTCCAAATTTTCCTTACAGCTGGACCTCAGTGTTCTTTTGCACTACTGGCTGCAAAATGTGCAAAAACACTTTTCTTTAAAGAGTTGTTTACAGTGACCTCTACAATATAAGCTTAGAATACAGTTTATGACTTGTCTCTGGATAGTATCACATACTTGCACAGAAGTGCCTGGAAGAGGGGTTAGCATTATGCGGAGTTAGGACAATGAGCCTTTCTACTTTCAACAGGCTGGAATAAGAGTATATGCTGCCAGGAGCTCCAGTGGGTGCCATGCATTTATATCTCTCAGATTTTGGCATGTTGTACCTGGAGAGATGGTTTCTAGAGTCGTGACAGCCACTTAGAAGTGAGGCAAGGTACAAAGGCATACACTTTTTGGGTATAAAACAAAGAAATCCCTCACTATAATTATTCACAGGCTATAGAAAACGCATGCTATGCAGTGTTGATTGGCTGGGTCCCTGGCAGGATAGGCTGCTACTGACAGGAACTAACTAGCAAGTGCTTAATGTGTTTATCAATGTTTTATACAAACAGATGTGATTTAAGACATCTGCTTGCATCAGTGCTCATACAACATAAGATGCATCAGTTTTCCAGAAGCATTTGATGCACAGGAACAATGCCRTGAAATGCAAGGCAATGCAGAGGGTTACCTCTGAACCTACTCATATGGTTCCTCAGTAACACAGCATCTAGTTGAGGTCCCAAAAAATAAGGTGCTTAGGCTTGGGCTGGCACCCAGGTTAACACAGCAATGCCTCTCCTGGGTGACAGCTGGCTCTGATCCACCTGGCTCAGGCTGCGGGCAAAGGCCTGTGTACCATCACCTGGCAGTGTTGACATATGCCATGGGAGAGGCACCATCAGCTCAGARCAGCAATAGGGCTCCCTGCTCAACAGCAAATAAAGTCTTCTCTAGGATAAGCTTCCCATTAATTGTTTCTTTGAAGCCCTATCTGGGAGACTGCCATGAAACTCAGAAAGAGAATAAGATGATTGGTCTCATGCCACTTTGTGTGACTCACTTGAGAGACAGGAGCACAGCAGTATGGAGAAGATAATTAGTCCTTTGTGTGTATGTGCCTGTTTCCAGTTCGTTTGAGTGTCTAGCTCTTGGCCATTGTATTCAATCTTAGCTTTATTACAGTCTTAAAACTTGTTCTGCATGTGGAAGTTTGTACCTCAATGGGAGCTTTCATAACACAATAAAATACCACCATAAATAGCAGCAGTGCAGGCTGCTCYCTGGCATTTACATATAGTGCTCTTCGCTTGCCTCATTAATTTTGTAAGTATCCAAGATTGCTAGAAATCAGCATAATTTATACTAAAGCAGTAAGGCAAGCAAGCTGAAATACAAACATATTAAGCCGGGCTTACTTCTTTATTACATGTTGCCACAGACAGAAAACTCTTTCCTTGAAGGGAGAGAGAGGTCACTGAGATGGTGCTGTTTGACAAGCACCTCGTTGTATTTGTACCATGGGGAATCGTGGCAGGGGCACTGTTACAAAACAGGGATTGCAGCAAAGGCACAAGGAAACTGTAGCAGCAAGTGCTACCAGCAGTGCACAAAGTAGTCTGACCTCTGTGTAAGACTCATTGGTCCAAGTACTGCACGGCGGTGTGCAAAACCACTCCATAGCAGAGCTTCCTCCTTTCGTAGGATTTTTTTCCCCCCTATTTGTTCAAGTAGTCCAAATCTGAGAAAAGAATAAGACCAGCCAGTTTTGTTTTGTGGACTGTAGTCCTACGGGGCTTAAAGAACACAGCTGCACAGCCCTGAGGCAGACCCACCCACCAAAATCTGTGTTTGTTCTTTTTGGGTGGCCAGATTATATTTTCCAAAATACACAACTTCCCCCTAATCTCACAGATAAATTATCAACAGGCATGTARCACTTCTGCATACCCCACTCAAGTTTTCTTCTTCTCTAGATTTGCCACATGCATTCTTAACTAGACATTCCTGCTTTAGAAAATATTGCTTGGAAAAAAGAGAGGGTGCTGTGGGTCTTACAGGCCACGCAGACTTTGCTGAAAGTGTTGAGTGCTTGGTGACATGGCTTTTCCTGCAAGACAGATACTTTATAAGGCGTGATCCAAAGGCCCSGTCTCTTTAGCCCTCCAAATTAGAAGGCCATTTGGAGCACATGACAGCTCCTTCCGTGCCTGTTCTTCAGTTTTTCCACTGAAGGAAGCCAGCATGCCACAACAGAGTGGCTACCAACTTCTTGTCTATTTTTCACATTGCTCTTACATCAAATGCAGCCAGCTTACCAAGCTTTTGAAAACCTTCTGTACAGCTCTTGTCAGAAAAAGCACATTTCTAATTATTGCAGACTTGCTTTCATATTTTCTTTGGAAATAATTCACTAATATCAATATACARTCAAGGAAACCATCCAGCTCAATGTCCTGCTTCCAAGAAGTCTGGTATATAGAATAAAGTTTGGTATATAGAATAGGATACATATAAGTGATCCTACCTTTCCGGTTTCCAGAAATGGTGGTTGCCATTCAGATTACTGAGTTTGCTTCCAGTTCACAGTCACCACAATGTTGCTTTTGAGCTGCAAAAGTAGCATTCAGAGAGAAAGGAGGTCATGGTTAGAATGCAGAATTGCAGAATTCTCTTTTACAAAGAACGCAGCCAGCAGCGTGCCTGGCCTCACTGACTAGAGGGACACGTCTGTACTGCACACTACAACTCTTCAGGAGACATGAGAGGATTGGCAGAAAATTGATTGACATCTTAAGTCAGCTGGCTCCACTTCACACTTCAAGAATCCTTAATTTTCCCATTTCTAAAAGTGGGAAGACTGTTATTACAATGCCTTAATTACCTTGAAAGGGCATCAAAAGGCTTAATGAAATAATGTTTGCGAAGCAGTATAAGGTCCTTGCCTGTACTAAGTCTTCTTCTGTTAGTATTAATCTGTTCTGGTGCTTGTCTTTTACAAAATTACATAAATGAAGGGCAGAACTTAAAAGTGAAAGTTTCCAAAGACCTCAGGTTTCAGACTTTTCATCTTCACAGGTTGCAGCACAAAGGCACCCTCCAAGGCTTGTTCTAATCTATTCTGAGGTGGTTAATATTTGCTAGGTGTTGAAATGCTCGGACACATTTCACCCCGAGGTATTTAGAGTGGAAATCTGCAGAGGCAAATAAGAGAGACATAGCAGAGAACATATTAGCCTTCTTCTGGGATCTTGTGATTCTTTCCCTTAACATTTTTGCACAGTTTCAAGCCAATGATTAACTTTCCATTAGCAAAATAACAGCTATAAACCACCAGGGGAACTTGCTCTTGAAATAACGGTTTGGGTTGAGTTGGATTCTGTTCCATACCAGTGTCGAGGCACAGTGGAAGAGCAGAGGTTACTTAGTAGGCTATTACTGCAAATAGCAAAAAGAGAAGGTGGGGGGAGGAAAAAAGGAAAGAAAAAAAACACAGAAAAAAAATAGCTTAAGGATTGTTTTTTTCAGTGGTAACTGAGAAAACTCATTAGGCAAGATTGGAATGATCAGCTGCCTATGCAGTAAACTGGCTGCAAGAGGAGCATGCAGCAGCCTGGCTCCGCAAGGGGCAGGGCAGCTCTGAAGATGTCCTGCAGGGTTTCTTACTCTCACTCCATGCCTGGGAGCAGAGGGCAACATGTGCCACCTGAACACAGGCTGCGAAGAAGGTAAGTGGGGACAGACCCAGGGGAGCTGGCAGCACATCCCAGCCCTAAAAAAGGAAGGATGACACTTCAGGACAAGAACAACATGAAATTGAAGCAGGAAGAGGAGAGAATTTTGAAACCAACAAACAAATCCCTACCTCAACCACCCCCAAAACAAATGAGCTAAAAAACAACCAGGAGGACAAGAGCTGTCGTGAGTCCAGAGGTGGTCATGGCCACCAGTGACATGGAGGGGCTGGAACAGGAGCAAATCCTCACAGTCACCTGTGGGGATGCAGGCCCACAAGCCAGAGCTGTGGGGCAGGGAGGGGAACAGCAGGGCGACACGCGCTTTGCACCCTCTCTTGACGTTGACAGCGGTGGCCTTGGCAGCCTCCAGGATTGTGAGCCATGTGGAAAGATGACACAGGCAGTACATCGCCCATGGACTATGGCTTGGTGACCAACTGATCTCAGCTTTCATCAGCTGCTAAAAATACAGGGAACATCAATACGTATGGTAAAGCTCAGTGTTTTTCCAYTTGCCTTCAGCCACGCTGATGCTCAGCTTCTGTGTTAGGGCCTTGGATACAATGAGTAGCACTTAAGTACTCACATGAGCCAATGCTAGTAGGTGAGGAGAAGGGTGGCACAATCAAGTTCTTAATTTTGATACAGAATGTAAGCAGCCTAAAGAGAAACTTAATTCAGATGTCTCAGTATGCAGTCTTTTTTATTACACCCACAAACCACCCACAACCTCTAAATTGCTATTCTTTAGAAACACCCTGCAGTAGTTTCTACGTTCCAACACACAGCCGTGTTGTAGGCTTAACTGCTGGATTTTGTGCATGCACTTGCAAAAATAAGTAATGGAGAGCTTGATCAGACAGCAGAATTTTTTCTCAAATGACACATTTTAGTATTAAAGGAAATGTATTCTGTTATCCTGCTGGCATGGAATAATGAAACTGTAGCTTTTCCTCCCCTGCTTTTTCCTTCTTCCTTTGWATCTTGCAAAGCAGAAATGATCCTTTGCTTGTAGGCTGCAGCAGCCCACAGAAGCTCTGAGAATAGTGTCAGAAACCTACAAACCTGCACCGTTAATTGGAGCCTGTATCACCAGTGGCACTTTGGAGACTCAGGGTGTCATTTAAAAGAAACAAGGTACTCTGCAGATGCCAGAGGCTGCCATTTGGTAGCAGAGGGAGGACGCTCCTGCACTGCTGAGAAACRTGAGCTCCATAGCGTTCTTGAGCCGAACATGGGCTGCGAGATAAAACCCCTTTCCCTGGCAGCCTGTGGCAGTCACCTCTGTCCCACCACAGCTACAGGGAGGTACGTGGCAGTCATGGCAAACAAAGCACATGCCACTGCCATGTTTGCATGCTAAGATATGCACGTTATTATTCAAATTCACTGCTTGGTACTGCTGTATTTATTGTCCAATCACTGTAACTCTCAGGAGAAAACGAAAGGAAAACAACATGATGCTGATATTTAGGCTGCCCTGTAAATTTCTGTTTTGTTTCTTGAGCAACTGTTTTCTGCCTTTTTTTTTTTTTTTTTTTTAATTGTAGTCTCAAGGCAAAGAAGAGAGGAAGACTGAAGGGAAAAGAAATAATTTTCTTCCATTTCAGACTACTGAATATAGTTAGAGAACAAAATCTTTCTAGAAAGCCACTTCAAAAAAATTTCAATATTCATCTTACTCATTTTACACCACTGTGGTCCCCACMGTAACCACAAGACCCTTAGCATGTACAGACTGGTAATGCCTTTTCCTCCTTAAGTTTCAAAGCATTAAGACCTTGAGAGATAGGGAAATATTGCCAGCCCTTTTTCCAYGTGTACTTGGGGGCAAAATCTAAAATTTCCAAACAGAACAGTAACAGAAGTGATATAGAGCTGCAGAAGAGAAGGAGACTGGGCAACRCACAGTTCTGCTGCATCTCCTCTGGACAATACCAGCCGAGCCCTTGCACACAAAGCAGGACGGTGCCTCGGTGAGCCGTGGCTGGAGAGCCGGGCACATCCTCCTCTGCCTGCCCATCCCCATGAGCAGGTGCTGAGTCAAGCTCTCCTAACGCCGGGCTTCCTCCCAGGCAGGGACCCTGAACTGAGTGCAGTGCCCTGCAAAAAAATGTATTTTCCTTTACYGCAAGGAGAAAAATGTTCTGTGAAGCTAAGTCTGCAATATATTATTAAATAGAATTACTGACAAGGAAAATTCAGGTTCAGACAAGGAAAACCTTTAAACAAAGCAGTGAAATGGGAAACACTGTCCTTGGTCTAAGGCAGCAGGACATTACTGCTCATCCTTTCCTGCCACCTCTTTCTGCTGGTAGTTGAACCCCAAGAAACAGCCATCATTATATTGTGAATAGCAGGCTCCCCCTTTCTGCAGTACCCTGTTGTAAAGCCATTCATTCATCTGTTCCTCGGTTTATCTTATAGCTTCACTCTATGTATATTAGATTATTATATAGACAAAACCATGGTTCAGCAACTGGGAATCAGCTTAGGTTGTTATAGTAGAAAAGACTCTGGAGTTTTAAGTCCAACTGTTAGCATTTCTAGCAAGTAATCTGATAACTGTGGAATTCAATGTGTAACCTTTAATATAAAAGTACTGTAGACTCATCAAACAAGAGCCTGATATGATCCTCAGCTTTAGCTACTACTCAGATATATCTTTCTCTAAGGTTTCCCCCCCGATCTTCTGTATTCTCCGTTCCCCAGCAATTCTTCAAGAAGAACCACGCAGATCAGCACCCCAGCAACAGAAAATCCCACTGCCTCTCATGGGTAATTTTCCAAGTGCAACTCACTACTGCATTTATAATTAGGCATCTTGCTTTGCACATAATTACATAAGCTATTTCAGAGGCCAGAAACAAGAAGCTAGCATCTCTCCAAAGTGAGAATTATTTCAGGCACACAAAAAGGTGCTCTGTTCTCCTAGCAACCAAAGTTGTAAAATAATGTAATCGTATCCAAAATAATGCGATAAAAGATGATGTGATACGGGTATGAGGTTGCTACGGCAACTGAAATAAGCTTAAATGCATGTATCTTGAATTTCAGACAAACAACCAAACTGTATGTAAAGTTTCATTTTTAATTAATCCTATGCTRTTTACAGTCATCTCCATTCATTCATCTTTTGAATCTATTGTTCATTCCTCTCTAAATGGCCTTCACCTTGTTCCTGGTGGACCTAGTTCTTCATTTGCTTTCAACTTTCTATTTTTGACCCTAGTGATGTAAAATTATTTCATCTCTGCCTGTTTGATAGAGACAAAATGTTTTTGCATGTCAGCGCATCACCTGCAGCCTTGTCTTGTCTTCCTTTCTTTTTTTAAGCAGTCTTGTTGCCTGCGGAAATGTCCAACGGTGTCAGGATTTTCTTAGCTACTCCCTCCACACACACTGTAAGAATAACCAAAAAAAAGTGCAGCCAGAAGTGAAAGTGTCCGTCGGAGGCTTGAGCTAGGAGGGTCCATCTGCCCAGCCCTGCTCCCACCAGGCGTGGGGACAAGCCCTCCCACGGCGGGCTTAGAGAGTGCCCAGATTCTTAAACAAACCAGCTGCTTTGCTCCTAAACACTGGATTCTTATCACAAGTCACGTTTTAAAAAGACATTTTCCATGTCTTATGTTTCCTCCTCTTTGAGGCTGAATAAAACGCTGATTTCCATAGAGTCAAACATGGAATCAGCCCATGTCCTGTAACAGTCCCTATGGCACTATGTGAGGAATTAATGGTTTTCTGGATCAGGATTTTATTCTGTTTCATCCCTCAGTTATTTTTGGTGTGATTAAGAAAGATACAATATTTAACCTGGTATAGCCATTAAAATTCATAGGTTTGTATGTTTTCCAAAATCTTTCTCTCGCAGCTC